TAAGATCGATAATGAATCATCGTACGATTCTTATATACCGGATCATTACAAGAGCCCGTCCGAGTATAAATCCGAATCGGAAAAGAATTCTGAAAAGATAGATCGTACGAATTGCAAAGTTATCGAGAAAGATTCGATGACGTGTAAAGTATGTAAGGATCCTAAAAATGGTGATAACTTTGAACAATGTTCATACAGTTATAAACCAAAGGACAAGGTTTATGCTTATACAAAGGGTGAATCGTTTGGTAGCCCAACGAAATCCGATAACGATGATGACGAAAGGAAAGAATCGACGAATATTTATGACGTACAAGAGAAAGTAAAGGAGACAAAGGTTGATATGCCTTATGATCAAATTTACGATAAATTTTATCAAAATGTATATGATAAAAAGGATGATAAAAAATATGACGACATAAAAAATACACCATTGGATTCCTCGGAAAATACGAAAAGTTCGATATACGTGCCAACTTCGGATCTGTCGGATAAAACGTCGTCCGACGTAAAAGGAGAGAAATTAATTAATAACAAGGACGATCGTTATTTCGAGGATAGTAAAAGGAAAAAGGAAGAGATTGAAAAATTCATGAAAGACTTTCAAAAGGAGGATCGTTCGAATTGCAAAAAAGTAATTAAAGACAATATGACCTGTTACAGGTGCAAGGACGACAAAGATATTCATAAGGAGGAATGTATATTTGTCGGTGATGAAGACGTTAAAAAAAATAATAAAGATCGATTGACATATAGGGAGGTTAAACAATTCAAATTTGATCCCGATATAAAATCCTCGGGTTCGTCCTTGAGCAAACGCAATTCTAATGACAAAATAATCGTCGATACTGATATATTAGAGCCAATAGCTTCGGCGAGCGAAGATTCTTATGCGAGGACAATGACTTCTGATGACGCTGAGAAAACAACGGAGGAAGAAACATTACACGAGGTTGAACCTTACGAATACGTTGCCGAGACTCGACCAATTTATGACAAAAACCTTGGATTAACATTACCAGCGTTTATGTTAACTAAATCGGAACACGAGCAAGAATTCGACGATGTTGTTGCGTCAAGTAGAATTTGATCTGATTGATCGATCGATCGATCGATCTAACGAAAAAAAAAAAAAAACAAAAAAAAAAAGAAGAAAAAATTAATATCTTCATCGATTTTTCTCAAATTTAATAAAATTGAATATTGTTATTTAGTTCGTAAAAATAATATTATCCGTCTGTAGGAACTAACTTCGTTTATAATAAATCTATTGTTACTTAACTGTTTGCTTTCTCTCTAGTATCTCTCTCTCTCTCTCTCTCTCTCTCTCTCTCTCTCTTAATCTCTTTTTCTTTCTTTCTAGTTACAATGAAAGATCCATTTATTTCTGTTGCATCAGAAGCAGTTTCGCATGATTGATTATAATGTTCGTTCGTGCGAATCCCGATTGTATCAATCGAATATCGATATATTTTATCGACTCACGTTTAATGCTTCCTTCGAAGTAATAATTCTCGAACGACTTTTACCTATGACGAAATATCTTTCTTTAATGGAATTTTTTGGAAAAGTTTCTTTGCTCCATTTTTTTTCTTTTTTTTAATCCGTTGAGTCAATGGATTAAAAAAAACAAAAAAAACAAAAGAAAAAAGAACAAAAAAGTAGAAAAACGTTTAAAGAATATAATGTGGATGTATGTATGTATTTAATGAATGTATACAACGAATATAATGTATATGAAAAAAGTGCAAAAAGAAAAATATATTTTTGTGACATATATGGATATGAGGCGCCTAAATATAGGCAACCTCGTGTAAGACGGGCTTTCTAGTTCACCATTCGACCACTAGATGGCGATTGCTAGACGCCATTATTTCATATATATATATATATATATATATATATATATATATGTATGTATGTAAAAATAAAATATTCTATTATATCTTTAAAATATAAATATCATATTTTTAATACAGAATCTTACATATTAAATATCATGTATTACATAATAATAAAAAAAGTAATATACACATGTATACATAATTGATTATAAAAATTGGACGTTTCGTGTGCAAACGATCTAATAAATATCTAAATATTTTCTTCGAAGCTAAATTATATATATATATATATATATATATATATATTTTTTTTTTTTCTTTTCTCTTTTCTTTTTTTCTCTTAATGTCGCTCGTCGACGTTACGTTATCGTTTGTGCCACTTCGATCGAATGTTCGAGCATTTTAAAATCCATCTAATGAAGTTATTTGTTTTGATTTTTTTTTTTTTTTTTATATTTTTTTACACGTTATTTATGCACGCCTTCGCGGCATTCAATGCAACAGGGATTTTCGGACGGGTCGAGGTAACAACGCCGGAAAAGCAAGCGTTTCCTTTGATGTTGGAATTGCTGGCTGCTACGTTGCCACTACTTTTCACGTTGTCAGCAGTGGTTTTGAGATTTCTGATGGTACCGTTAGCATTGCCCAAGGCAAGAGCGATACAGCCTTGCATTTGGTATATATTACTCGAGTAACAGTTAATAAATATACTATCCAACGTTACTAGAAGTTTCCTGGCAACCTGGATATATATATATATATATATATATATATATATATATATATAAGAATTTTGAGATGAAAAAATGATGATAATATCTCTATTTTTTTTTTGTCTTTTCATCATTTCCAATCGACGTATTTAATAAATTTCTACTTACACCAATGGTAGCGTCCATGTTATTTTGGGCTGGTACAATACCTTGTTTGGCATTAGTTAAACATGCATCCAATGACGCAAATGAACTCTGACTGATATCTCTAAGCGCAAGCCTACCAGATTCTAAACAATGATCGGCATTTTTGCCAGCTTCCTTGGCAGCTTTCACGGCATTCTAGAAGAACGAAAGAAAGGTAGAAAAAGAAAAGTGCAACAAATAAATAAATAAATTTGTAATGTAAAGATCGATCGATCTATCGATGAATTTAATCCTTTGATTCGTTCAAAATTATTCTTACGCGAATCTCATTCATTGCCGGATTTGTCATATCATTTATGGACTGCATTGAGTTGATCTTATTGTTGGATAATTTCACGTTTAAATCAAATTCAAGATTTCTTTTCGATCTTGTAAGATCATTGATTATTATATTGACATCTCCTTTTGCCTTTTCAAGGCGTGCTTTCAAAACTTCCAAGGACTCTGCTTGGACGTTGCTGATCTATAATAATTATATATATATATATACAAAATATAAAAAACAAGAGAATTGTTATTAATAATAAAATTATTATATGTACATATATATATATATGTATGTATATATTAATGTAATGATTTATATATATATATATAATATATCAATAAAAAAATTTTGCTTGTAGATTAATTTACATAATTTTTCAATTAAAATCAAGAAATTAACATTATTTATAAAATAATAATAATAATAATAATAATAATAATAATAATAATAATAATAATAATAATAATAATAATAATAATAAATATTTGATATATAATAATTATTGTACAAAGTTATTAGCATACTCAAGATAATGAGATATATGTAGATATATATTTTATAAATATTATATATATTAATATAATAATTTATATATATATGTATATCGTATATTGATAAACTATTTAATAAATTTTATTTCTAGATTAATTTACATGATTTCCATTTAAAATCGATAAATCAATATTAATTATTAACTAATAATAATAATAATAATAATAATAATAATAATAATAATAATAATAATAATAATAATAATAATAATAATAATAATAAATATTTGATATATAATAATTATTGTACAAAGTTATTAGCATACTCAAGATAATGAGATATATGTAGATATATATTTTATAAATATTATATATATTAATATAATAATTTATATATATATGTATATCGTATATTGATAAACTATTTAATAAATTTTATTTCTAGATTAATTTACATGATTTCCATTTAAAATCGATAAATCAATATTAATTATTAACTAATAATAATAATAATAATAATAATAATAATAATAATAATAATAATAATAATAATAATAATAATAATAATAATAATAAATATTTGATATATAATAATTATTGTACAAAGTTATTAGCATACTCAAGATAATGAGATATATGTAGATATATATTTTATAAATATTATATATATTAATATAATAATTTATATATATATGTATATCGTATATTGATAAACTATTTAATAAATTTTATTTCTAGATTAATTTACATGATTTCCATTTAAAATCGATAAATCAATATTAATTATTAACTAATAATAATAATAATAATAATAATAATAATAATAATAATAATAATAATAATAATAATAATAATAATAATAATAATAATAATAATAATAATAATAATAATAATAATAATAATAATAATAATAATAATAATAATAATAATAATAATAATAATAATAATAATAATAATAATAATAATAATAATAATAATAATAAATTTGATCATACCTGAACGATGGAAAATGCGGCCACGAGACAAATTATTAAATTATTCATGATGAAATATTTTTCTTTATATTTAAATATATTTGATAATACTAGGAGAACGATGATATCAATGAGAACTGTTACAGTTAAATGAGAGAACGCATATTGGTTGTCTCTTATAAAGGAAAAATATCGTATCTGCGAGCGATATAATGATGACGAACTTATGTGTGTCAGAGAGAGAGAGAGAGAGAGAGAGAGAGAGAGAGAAAGAAGGATGTAAGGTGGGAGAAGGAAAGAGATGATTCTTCTTTACGACGTGTCACGAATGTTTTTCCCCCCATGCTCTTGTTATTTCCCCTTAAAGGAATTCCCCACCTTCCCCTCCCCCACCACCACTACCACCACAATGTAATTTTTCTCTTACGAGAATCCATGAACAAATAATAATCTATATAGTAGAATTTTAACGATGATAAAGATAAGGCTTTATTTGATAAAAG